CGACTTCACACAAAGCCACGACTATAAAGACTTTGACGAGACGAGCGCAACTAGTTTGTGACACACCGGACCTAGTTTGTGACTCGAACGCACTATTTACTTTTAAAGTACTATTAATATCGTGACTACATTTTAAAGCTTGTCTCATATTCCATCGGCCCTTTCTGGTTTATTTTTTATTTAATATCATCGACATGTCACTGAAACAGATTATGACGCCTTCCATGGCCGAAAGACGAAGAACCCTAGTGAGAGTATGTAAGGAATACTAGGAAAATTTCCTACCATTTCTCTGCGGTAATTACAGTAGAAGTTCCCTGCGTCCCGTCATGAAGTAACTTCAAGAGTACAGGCATTTCTTTAAATGTTTATTTTTCCCCTCACCTATTGCACTAATTCACAAATACATGTATTCTCCCTGTGAGTAATTCTTTTTATCTTATTGAATCTTTTTTAAGATTCTTGCGTCACGTGGCATTGTTCTGCAGCTCTTTGCAATTTGATCTGCAACGTCTTACATTCTACTCTACCCCATGTCATACAACGATTGACAATTAGCATGGTTACAATCAGATATCTTCAAACAAAGAAACCGTAAATGTGATAGAATAAATTAAACTCCATACCCTCTATTAAAGCAAGACCTTTTGGCAATATTAATGCGAAGAGATTCTCCATGTTAAAATATTAACATTTACAGTTAGTCAACAGGTAGTCAACTTTGAATGATAAGTAAAATGCTCGTAGCCTTTCCTGTAATTCTACCTTCTCAATCTTACATGGGAATAAATTTGAACTCAACATTACAAATGGTAAGTAAATATAAAGTATTATACAGTGTACAACAGAGATATTTAAAATAATTTTTCTTGTTTAACAATTACAACGCGCCAGTTTTCCGTTGCTATAGTAATGCAATTTCACGAAACCTCTGAAACTCTTAGAGCCAAAGTAAAAACGCAACTGAGTTGGCCGTTAGGAACCTTTGAAAGTTTCTATAGAATGCTGTGATTTACGTCAAGCTATCAGACGAGGAACCACGAGCAGCCGCATTCCTTTTGGCGCGAAGATAGCGTACCACATAAACAACAGTTGCCAAGCAAATCCAGCCGCCGGCCACCGCGCAACCAACGCCCACTGCTAGGACAGAGCGGTAGCGGCCACGCTCGGCTCTCCTGTTATGACGACTGTGTGCTTCACGGCTGCGGTGGTGTCGAGGGATCTCTGACTGCAAACATGAAAAAAGACATGAAGTCAAAACATTATCACTGCAGCTCTATTATTGACAAACGAGTTATACTGAACATAGAAAACGGTGCTCCTGACATTTCTCGCGTTCAGCCGGGAGTATCAAGCCGTTTGAACATGTATCCTTGTACACCAGTAGGCATGCCGGCCATTAAAAGTTGAGCTCAAATTCAAGGCTCATTAAGTAACAAATGAACAAATATCGACTCAATAAATTAAAAAAAGCCGTAGCACTTAGTTCATAAATTAGTTAAAATCCTGAAATTGAAACAATGAGATTATTTACCCTCTCAGATTCTTTCTCCATTTCACCATCAGGGAAGTCCTTATCTTGAGCTCCCGTTTTGCCTATTGAAAGAACAATGTTAAGTCAGTCCCTGTGCGATAATTAAAAGAATGTTCCAGTGAAAGCAAGTGATGTCCCATGGCAGCTTACCGTCTCCATATTGCACTGCAAGGAACAAAAGAAGAATGACGATAGCTGAGCACCAAATCGACGTGTGCATTGTGGGACTGCACAGCCTACATCGCTGCAAAAGATGTAAAGTGTCAAAACATAATGATAATGACAATTACGAGTTGAAGATTCAGATTCTTAAACTGGCTCGATGACATATATATTTGCAAGCCTACGAGAGGAGGTTTCCCTTTCAGTGTGAATCCGCCGATGGTAACAATGTCACAAATCGTGTACGTCTTATCTGGTGAGAAAGGTTAAATAAAATATATTTGTTATCAGACATTTTAGTGTTCAATTTCACGTATTCTTTAGCGACGTATTTTTATTTCGCCAGCCTTTGGGCGAGTCAAAATACCGCAAATGCCTTATATGATAATCATTATCCAGCGTTTGTCTCTCGCATTGTGTTTTATGTTGATGATGGACAAGAGAACGAGCTTGATCATGGTGTTAACTCGACGGTTTCCAACAAATATCGTGAGATATTTGTACTCACTTTGCACGTTATTTGCACACCACTGGGTGGAGATGATAAATACACAATACAATAATAACCAATACAACAATGACAAAGTTCTTTTGTGGCAAGTGTGAAATGTTAAATGTTTTTTTAGACTGATGAATAGTCGGTTAAACTGAGTCATTGAAAATAAATAAATTGTCCATACATTCTCAGGAATTACCCACCAAGAGTGTCCACATGTTACAAGTCTTTACAAATGGCTGTTTCCATTAGGTTTGTTCTTCGTTTAGGTCAAATGTTTGTTTTAAGTCAAAAGTGTTGTATCCTAATGACCCCCTACCATCATGATCAATTTAATTCTTTATTTACACTATATAGAGGACATTTACACATATTTTACATGTATATGATAAAGGAATGAAAATAGTAAAATATTAAAAAATATTAAGCCGTCAAATTAGGTTGTTAGGTTGTTCTTATAACAAGTTGATTATTGATTTGAAACTGATTCAGATCATAAATCTTAACGTTAAACACTCTGACGTTTACTGTTTCATTTGCAGTGACGTAGGTCTAGCGAAAACTCTATCTTTAAAAGTGCAATAGTGATTCAACTCAAAGTGAGTAGTTTTTTTTATTTCTTTACTAGCATTCTTAGCTTAAGAGTGTCTTTACAAGCCCTACTGAAATAAATCACGAATTATAAGAATACATTTTTCAGTTGATCCAAATAAAACTGCAGAATTGACCAGGGATATAGCGGAAGAAGGATTGCAGGTGATTAGCACTGCAAATGCACAAAATGGACGTCTTGCAATCAAGAACACAAGATATAAAATAAGGTTCAAACTTGCAACACAGATACGCAGTCAAAACTTTCAAATTAAGCTAGAGCGTAGCAATATGTATTACTTGAATCTCAAATGTTGTGTTTACTATCAAAAGAGAATTGGAACCAACCATAAATTGGAAAAAACTACAATCATCAAACTATAACAACGATAAGAACTGCTGGGAAGGTATCTGTCAAAAAAAAAGTCAAACCATTGTTTTCAGACTGACGTAGGTGCTGGATAGTAAGCTCGCACATGTGCATTCACTAAACATTGAAGATTTTAGTCAAGTACATATATTTACCATTAAGATCTAATATCCAAGGACGAGGACAGTAAGAAAAATCTTACATCTCATACTGTCCGTTAAGCGGTCAGAACACACCGAACATTTTGGGGTTGTTTTTCCTTTGATAAGATCAGACTAGACCGGAGAATATATGAATGTATTATTAAAATAGTTCGTAGAGCACCCTTTGAAGATGTTAAACACTAGAATTTCATCATGACACTTTATCCAAGATGTTACAAAGTCAAGGGGAAGATTTAACAAATTGCTCTTCTTTACACACTAAAAGCTTCTTCAAGAACAAAGGTTAAGACGTTTTAAGTCAACAATCGTTTTACTTACACTTTGCTGTTTATTTGCCTTCTTTTCCAATCGTCTTCCCCTTCAAGTCCTTCCCTTATGCTTTTCACAAAGTAGAAACCGCTCAAACACTGTTAACCAACAAATGTGGATCTCTTTCTCTCTTCTTTTGGCATCGATTTCTCGGTAAAGACGCAATTCTTTTGTTTAAGTCAAACTTAAATTGTTTTGTTTCAACCCTGCGCGATGTTTTTATGTTACGTGCTCTTTCACAGAATGTTTATTGGAAAACCTGTAATAAACAACGATGGAAATGCCTTTTCAGAATCAATATTTTTGTGAGTCACCCGCGCAGTTAACGAAATTTATGAAAACAGTTGCGTCGGAAAAAGCGACTATTTTCAGACATGCGCGTTAAAAATAAAATTCTACGGAACAATTTCCGTCAGAACACGATTTGTAGGATTTATTTATCATGAGCAACAAATTTTCTTGGGCCTTGAGCCTGACAAACTCTTTTAAATTCCCATAGTAGTTGCTTGGGGTTTTTAGCCAATCCGTGAGCGATGTATCTGGATGAAAGACGATAAAAGCAATTTTCAAAATCAGTGCAGCCCACATATGGCAAGACCACTGTGCCTGGGACCTTATCCCGAAGGTCGCCACGGTAAATTAAAGGTAACAAAAATCTGGTGATAGGGTGGTTCCAAAATGTCCCGTGGCAGCTCTATTACCAAGTTATAGAATTGAATACTTTTAGTCTCTCGTCTGCTCGTCATCACTTCGTTTACAACGTAATTTTTGATTATGATTGCCCGACACATTTCCAAATGAATGACATGCGTTGTAAAAAAGGTCATTTGCGAGTTTACGTTCCCCTGACAGGCTCAAATGGGAAGTGATGTACAGCCATAAAATATCGTTCACATATATAAATGAACAGCTTGAAGTGGAGAAATGGTCCAGTAGTGTTTCCATTTTAAGCAATGGCAAACTGTGAAACAGGGTGCTCAGTCTTCGAGTTAAGGCAAAAACTCAGGAAAACTCAACTTCACGCAGAAAAAAGGTACAAGTCTCTCAAAAAATTCCGCTCTTAAACCAGGGGTACAACGTAGACATCTACCAACAACTGACACCATTGACAACTTTTATTTATTACAATTACGACGGTAAAAAGTCTAATTTACACCAGGAGCTCGGGACCTTGGTCTTCAACAGAGTATACTTGAGTCTTGACCTTATCACACCACTCGGATAAACGATCCCTCATGTGAGCAATCTACATAAAATAAACAAAATTAAAGTCGCTTTATTACGAGTAGTTGCTAAAAGCATGGCTGTTGGGTAGCAATATAAAAGGAACGGGTTCCTACAAATGGCATGCTGTAACAACATCTGCAACAAGGCTGAATAAGAAAGAGTTCATCACTAGAAGATTTATGTTTGAAACAGCCACAGACATGACTAACGAAAAAGAGATCACCTCCACCTTAAAGGTGCAAAACCCATGAAGCTCCCGTACTGACTACATTGTACATTCTTCACCTTTGCGCAAGCAAAGACACGAAAAGCGCAATTAAAGTTGTTATCATTTACCTGATTCAGATCGAGTACTCGTGGTTGTACCCAAGTCATGTGCACCATCTGTTCAACCTCGTCAATGGAGCCTGGTGACAAATGAAAGAGTGTTTGACAATCAACTGACTGTGACACTGACTATTTACCATTTATGTGTTGGGTTCAGACAGGTAGCAAAATAAAATAATCATCAAGTGACAAGTCACACACTTAGAAAATAGCGCTGATAGTTTGAATGATATAGGAATGTACCCTACCTTTTACTAAGCCAAGTGATAAAGCTTTCATTACAAGGAGCTCTACCTGTATTGAAGAAAGAAGAAACCAAAATGGATTAACGTGTATTCTGAGTAGGACCAGAGCCGTCCCTAGAGTGCAAGTATTTCTCTCACTGTTTCTCTATCTCTCTGGACAATCCAGAAAAGAGCAGAGGAGGAAGAGGGGGAAGAGGGGGATAAGGAGGTGAAGAAGAAGGGGTCTAATTGGAGTCTAAAACAGACTGCATGTACATACAACCACTATTTAACAATTAGACCCGTAGCCCTTTTGGGCTACGGGTCAATAGCCCATTCGGCTTCGCCTCATGGGCTATTGACCCGTGGCCCTTGAGGGCGAAGGGTCTAATTGTTTTAGTATCACCCAATTAGTCGGACAGAAAAGGCAATAATAAAGGTAGCAAATGCAAGTTGAAGAAATATTTATTTGGGAATAAAACGAAAGAAAGCGTCACGCTCGATTGGGCCAATTTTGCTACTCGAGAACTATTACCAATAGTCCTTTAGTAGCGTAGCCAATTAAAATGCAGGATTTGCATTAGTCCACTAGTTGGGTGATACTAAAATGTAATATATTTAGCTGCTTCTTTGTCCTGGTACTCAATGATTGCTTAACCAGCCAAAGAAATTTTATCTTAAGACACATAGTACAGTTTAGAATACCATACAGTCTACATGTTCTTACCTCTTCAAGGGGTAACTGTGCTTCTCTTGCTATCATTGCAAATGTAAGGTTTCTGTCATGAGAGGGTCTTTTGAATGTCAACTAAGGGAATAAACAATTGAAAATGACTGTCATTTGAAAAAGCAAGTTACCTTACATTTACTTACAAACATTGTGTGTAAGCAAAGAATTACTACATGAGTGAGAGAAAATGCTTCAAGAAAAAAGAACAAAAAGAGCAGACCTCCATCAAGCACAGCAAGCTGATCTTCTGTCTTAGGTTCTTGTAGTTGCGGTTCAAGTCAGCCTGTAGACAAACCAGCAAAACATTGATCTTTTAGCATTCATTCAATTCAGCAACACCACAGATCATTACACTGTTTTAGCTTGAACCCAGTGAAAGCCGTTCAAGAGGCCCTGTTTAGGTAAAATTCTGATGTAGCTACATAGAATCAAAACAGCAACATGGAGGCCAATAAAATGGTGACGAATGACAACAGATCTGTTGAAATTTGGCCAGTAATGCCTTGACTACTCAAAATTACCACTACTTGGTTATAGATGACTGTGAAATGACTATTATTGGAGAGGAAATTACTCTATGTATGGTGATATGCAGTAGAATTACATCACATTACATCACTATTGTATAAATGCATTATACTACAATAATAGCACCTGTTTCTGCCACTGAGGTCTCAACAATTCAAATTTGGCCAAGTCACCTGCAAAACAACAGATTGTTCTGAAAAGACTGCACCACGACAAAACTATGAGAAAAAAAGCTGCTTCATGACAGAGCTGGCTCTGATCAATACATTTTCAAGACTTACATACACTATTATAATAACTCTAATGCCACCATGTACATATATATATGTCTCAACCAACAAGGAACTCATTACTGTACATACCACTGTTGAATGCAAAGAGAAGATCTATTAGCCATTCGTGCTCTGTTCCTTTGAGGGACTGCAGTACAGGATGTGCAAGCTAGAAAAGTAACAAACATTCACTGTACACCTGTAAGACATACACAAACATCTGTACATGTGTAATGGTGATACAAAGACCTCTGGTCAATAACAGGGTGCCAAACAAACATACATGTATAGATAGTATACATGTATCCATTAAGTGAAGTCTGCATACGAGCCAAGAGGGCCCATCAGGCTGGAGCTTATCCCAGTTTCTGTAGCATGAAGCGACTAGGAGTATTTCTACTCCCCACCCCCCCTCCGGATGGAATGATAGTCCATCGCAAGGTTATCCCCAGAAAATAACATATAGTTTATGTAAAAAAGTTGGGAAAAATGGTAAAAATCACTATAAAACAGGAAACACAAAGACTGTACACATGCATACAAAAAGGATTTAATGAAAAATTATGTGAGGCTGAGCTACAATGTAGTGTTGACCTACCAGTTCTCCAAAGTTGTAGATATCATTTCCCAGTAAAGCTGCTAGAGAAAGGTGTAGGGCTCTATCTACTTGTTCACCAACTAGCAATGACACAGAGAACATTGTATCACATTTTCAAAAAAATATTTAAAGTCTAGGCACAAAATGTAAACGCATTTAATGACTTGTACATGTAAAAAAACCTAAAGTCTAGGCACAAAATGTAAACACATATTTAATGACTGTACATGTAAATTTTTAAGTTGTGTCATCTACAATACTACCTTAAACACAGTACATGTAATTTACAACTGACCTGCCATGGTACTTATTTCTACACAGCCTAAAAAACGCAGTGCATCTCTGTAGTAGTCATTATATGAACCAGTAATCTAACAAGACAAGAAAAATTTACCGTAAGCAATGTATTAAATCAAAGCAAACTTCAAAATACCCCAGCTGCATAATGAGAATTTCATAGTTTAAAGCCAGTGATTATGTGTATAATTTAAATTTTAAAAAAATAGGTCTATTATGTGTGAGAGTGTAAACTTGCAACACACACTTTGTGATAGTTACTGCACAGTTCGTAAAACCGTCCATGAACTGTAGTTACTCCATCTATGGTCTCCAGCATCCCCCTTGCTTGTTCAACCAGTGCCTGAAAAAAATTGGTAGGTAACCCAAATGTATATTGTAGATTTACAAATAATTTGAATGGCAAGAAATGAAGCCAAGGTACAGGTTGTACAGTAACATACTGTACATTGCATATAATAAACATTACAAACTCAAATGTAACAAAAAGATAAGTTCACACCTTTGTTTCTTCCATGTTGCTCTGTTGAAGTTTAATGTTACCAATGGCTGTCATACACAGAACTTCAGCCTCTATATCATTTTTGATCTGGAACAAAGAAAGTTGTAGAATATAAATGCTCTCACACTGAACAATACCTACATATATGTAAGAGTTCTAAAAGAGCAAATAGTGATAACAAATTCAGTGAAGGTAAGTTAACGTGGAGTAAGTCAATTCATAATCATGCACAATCATACCTTTTCTTTTTCCCTTTCAAGGAACTCAATAGCAGTTTCTGGTTCTAAAATGAAGGAAAGTGTAATCAGAATAAAAAGGGCAGATGCGCTTTGATGACATGTTGCCACTACTGTCAAGTCTACAAACATGCATTATACACACATGTACATGTATAGTACATGTACATGTATGTGTTCAACAAGCAATGACACTGAAAATAGTAAACACTTACCCTTTATTTCCTTTATAATATATATCACGATTTCCATGAGGGAAAGCATGTTTATTCTGGGAATTAAAAGGAGAAGAATACATTTGAGAGCTCTCTAGGAGCATTGATCATCATTTGTTAATAATACGATGCTGTCAGTAAGTACTTGACAATCAGTTAATGAAAAGCAGATACATGCAGTCCAGACACCACTAGCAAACAGTTGTATAGATGTATATCTATTATTTTTTATACTTTACCAATAAATTCTTCATTTGTGTGACTTTTTCAAGCAGTTAGGTTTCTGCCACTCTGTGCAGCAACCTACGTTGTTACAAAGTAGGTCAACAGGGCTAATAAATACACTTGAGTGGCTGACACCACTTTGAGCTTCAACCTACATGTATAGTCTAGGGCAGGAACTTGCTGATACAGTCATGTACAGTCTGAAAAACTTTGTTATTCTGAGCTGCATGCTCTGCTTATTACAGTTTAAACTACATGTAGCACAGCGTAGGGTTCGACTTTCAGGAAAAAACCTTGGGGCCAGCTGGCCCCTAAGTAGCAAAAGTATTTCAGTGAAAAGTGTGACAAGTTAGTTGCCAGTGAAAGACACGAAATGGTTGCATTGGCAACCCCAGTGATCAGGATGTTGAGCCAACCTTATGTTCCTAACAAATTTGGATTTGACAAGAAGACCACATACATTTGTACATGTACATGCATACATGTATAATATACATTGGCAGATCATGAATGCATGGGGCTATCAAAATGTTTTTTCATATACATGTACATGTAGTTGTAATAGCCACAGGTAGCAGAGTACTATAAAACAAAAAGGTTCAGCCATGACTGCAGGTTTCCACATTACCTGTGTTCAAAGTCTGCAAGGAAATTATCATACATCTAGAAGACAAAGCAAAATTAAAGTTAATTACCATTGACGGTCTACATGGTGATAATACAATGCAGTGAGAAGAGTTTGTTCTTCACTCTTTCATTAATCTCAATAAAGTAAACTAAAGCCCTGAAAATGTAAAAAAAAAAAAAAAAAACTGGAAGGAAAGGAGTTTCAGACATCATTCTTCACTATGATTTCTTCCAACCATAGCTTTACAGATGTTGTACATTCAGAGTTAATGAACACAAACATTGTCATACCTCTACTAGCCCTCCATTTTGGGCAAAGTACTCGTTCTTGACAAACTCAGTAAGTTTCAGAGTCAATTGATGCCATAACCTATGAGACAACATTTTACATTCATGTTTCACTATTTTAAAATGAAAGCAACACCTTATAATTAACTTTTTTTTTTTGTAGGAGATCAGATTTGTATTGGCAAGGGAATTCACACTATTCACACATAATGTATTTCATTAGTTAATCACTGTTTATATATATATATTTTCTGTTCTGTATTGGTTCTTATGCAACATGTAAACTGCTTGCAGTCTATTTTTTCTCAAAATTAGGCAGGAATATAGGGTGAGATGCTTCAGACGAAGAGGCCATTCTCATTCATACTGCCTTTTTCCATTCACATTTGTGGAAATAAACACTTATCTGACACTTTGAGAAATGACAGACTGCAAGCTGTCTACACTGTACATCATACATTACATGATTACATGTAAAAGAGTACAGGACAGAACCAGAAGACAAATAACAAGACATGTCAAATTCAGAAAAAAATATACTGAATAGGGAATAGTGTGTGAATACATGAAGCATTCAGTCGTTCTCAGTCCTCACTAAATACACTTGCCAATTCTTAAAATTAAGCTTACGTCTCCTATCAGACATGTACATGTAAGCTTACTCAAAGTTCACAAGAGTAGCAAATTGAGCCCCACATGAAGATCGTGACTGTATAAAAGACGAGTGAGGCCACATGCGATCAAATAAGCTAATTAAGTAATCATCAAAGCTTCAATAGACAATAAAACGAAATTATGGCTGTAGTAACTTTCCAACTCCAAGCTAAGTTCAAAGGAACAGAAACTTCAGTGAATAATTCAATTGCAAAAGACTACAAGCACCACAATTCACTCTCGCTGTAGCAAAAGACCTGGTTCACACAGGTTTGTAACGAAGCAAAGCATATAAAATGATTAAACTGTGAAGATGTTTTCTATAAAACTGAAAGAAAGACTGATGACTGACACGAACACCTTTGAAAGTTTCAGCAAGTAAAGTCTTTGACAAGCTCTATGACTAAGCACTTCAACTTAACAAACTCAAAATTACACAAAACCTACTTTTTCTCGTACAGTTCACCCAAAGAAACCCATTCCGATGCCAAAGGTCCCCCTTCACTTTGTTTTCTACTCAAGAATCCTTTCACATCCCTCATTTTTACACGAAATATTCAGTTCGTTTTGAAGTAAAATTTTCTAAAATGGCGATCTCATGGAACAACTTGAGCCCGCCGTTTCTTGACCAGCGGGAATGTCAGGAGAATTAAGCTTTTGATCTGGAGCGCGGCCGGCGTTCAATTTCCCGCCAAAATCTTGCAAAGACGTTTTATGACTTGAGCATTTACCTTTCAGAAGGGTTCAGCTTGTTTGATTTTCAAAAACTTACTTGTTTTCCCTTGACGACAAACGTTTGAGAAACTCGAGAAAGGTTCAGAAACTTTGCAAAATCAGGTAAGTCCTTTAAAACCACTCTCTTCCGTGGATAAAAAAAAAAAAAAAAAAAAAATTAGACGAGTAAAACCTTCGCATTTCGTGCACTTCGTGTATATCCAGGATAAGCTTGATATTTTTTTTTATAAGATTTCTTCTAAAAAACACAGTTCTATTTTAGTTCGGAAGACGACATGGAAAAAACAGTAGAAAAGCAATCCAACCGATCGGCATTTCTAAGACAACCAGGTAAGGAAAAAAAAATATATATTGACAAGGTAAGCTTATATGTTTTCGAAGCTTTTAAAAACTTATAAAAATGTAAGTTTATTTGATTTTACTATTTCCTTTTTCTTTGGGATACAAAATTAATTTCCCGTGATACGCTTGTTTGAATCATATTCACTTATCATGCATGTTACGAATAACAACTGACCGACTACAACAACAATAAATATAATCGGTAAATGAGGTGTAACAAACACGGCGAATCGTCTCTGATTGTAGTCCTGTCGGAGAACTCTGGGATTCGTCCCATCGGCAGTTTTGCAAGTTCACAAGCGAGGGTCAAAAGTGATTCACAATGAAAAAAATCCACAACGGCACAGGCATCGCCATCGCTTCTCGCAATACGTATGGGTTATTGACTAAGTGTGAGGTCAAGATGGCTGGATATTGGCCACGTTCTTTTTTTGCGTGTTTATGGACCGAGACGGAGTCGAGGTCCATAAACTCGCAAAAAAAGAACGAGGCCAATATCCAGCCATCTTGGCCGAACAAGCTTGGTCAATAAAGGATTTATTATATGGCTTTCGGGGAAATTTTTCTTGCGGGACACGGCGGGTAGTCCCGAGCGGGCAAGATAGCCCCATCTTGCCCGCACGGGTAGCCAATCACAGCGCAGGATTTGATTTATCTTGCCCGCTCGCGGAGCTTGCCATATAATAAGTCCTTGTACAAGGTTTCGCATGCTTACGTGCCGCACAGACAACAAGCCCTGAGAAAAATAAACAGAACCGAGGACTACTTGCGAAGTGATTTGTAATCTTTGCTCTGACGGAGGACTAACACTAGAAACATCAGCTTCACAAACTCGCTACGGCGATTAATTTACCTTAGTCGACTTTAATTTGATGAATAGCTAAGAGTTTCATTTGCCCGCCGGCGTAACCCGAGAGTTTTTTTAGAACCGATAACTTTTTCCACCACAAAAATGGTCCATTTTGCTTCAATCAGTCCCCTGCTCCCTTCATACCTCCCTTTCTCCCTCAACCCCCTGAAACACCACCTTAATCCCAAACTGCTTTTACACGTTCGTATGTGCTAAGACAAAATAAGTTGTAAGCTATTGGAAAAGTGTCTTACATGTGTTCTTTTAGCTCGAGTTTTACTGGTAGACTACAGTCCTCCATTTGATGCTGATACATGTGAATACCTTCATGATGCCTTGGTGAATTTCTTTGCACTTGTGACTCATCTGAGCGGACCTTGCCGAACACCATTCTTTGGATTGTTTGCACTCACAGACCATCCAGAGGTGAGTTAAGTATGTTTTGGCATAGTTTTACTGTATTATGTTATTTCAACAGTGAGGTAAAAACGCAGGCGAAATAGGTTTCGTTAGTTATTATCCAATCCGAAAAAATGAGTGGAACGAAAATGCCGGCCATCTTTTTGATACTGAGTGACGTCAGGGATTCTAAAAAAAAACCACATGCCCTGACTCAGAATTTTGGACTTAAAGGAAATTGGCTGTCATAAAAAGGTGGTGGCAGCTGGCTAGGTCGAGGGGGACCGGTCAACTGAACTCTTAAAGTTGACTTCAACCTTTCACCATTAAAATAGTTAGCCCTCTAGCGAAAAACCATGGATTTGGTTGAGATTTGGGCAGTATTGATCTGATTGCTTGATTTCAGTTACCTGCAGAAGATCTTGAATCATGCATATCACTTCCAAAAAGACCATCATATGTTTTAAATATCTTTACAATTACGTCTCAATCACGATATAAACAAGCAGTAATGTGACCATAATCGTTTCAGAACCTGTTTAGATTGCAACATGTCAGAGGTAACTTTCCAAGGCTCCACACTGCCTTTGAGGAACTCAAGTTACTTTTTAAAGAAAAGTCGGCTAATCCGTGTACACCAGGTATGAATATTCAAAATGATGTCAGTTAGACAAAGCACCCCTTTGGAGATGATGTGTGTGGTGCGTATCAGATCAATATAACGAGCAGACACAGGCTTTTGGCTTCAGGTTTCAATTATTGTTGTTTGAAGTAAAAATTGAGATACTATTGTTTTCGTTTAAAATTGAAATTCTTACAAACTTTCATAGAACTCCATACACACTCCTATACGACGCTTTGGTGGTCTGTGGACACACCTAGTATGCATTTTCAATCACTGTGAAGACTCGGGTGAAAAAATATCTTGGATATCGTGGTCTACTAGGAAGAGCACGTTAAATTTGTTCGTCAATTTAAGATGGCTTTATATCCCCTACATGCAGTGAGGCGCAGTGGCCTCGTGGTTAGTGCGCTCGTCTCCGGATCGAGCGGTCTAGGTTCGAGCCTTGGCCGGGGACTCTGCTTTGTGCTCTTGGGCAAGACACTTTGCTCTCACAGAGCCTCTCCCCACCAAGGTGTATAAATGGGTACCGGAGAACTTAATGCTGGGGGTAACCCTGCGATGGACTAGCATCCCATCCACGGGGAGTAGACATACTCCTAGTCACTTCATGCTACAGAAACCGAGATAAGCTCCAGCCTGATGGGCCACTTGGTTCGTATGTAGACTTAACCTTTTACCTATGCAGTTTTTTAAACTTCGTGCAAAGGTATATCTTAACATGCCTATTACAACTTGATAGTAAAAAAATGGAGGTCAAGGAGCTCGTTTTTGAGTTATAAACACCTATACAAAAATTGAAGTTTTAATGTTGCTATGGTAACACGTTAGTCATGGAAATAACCACAACTTGTCCACCAATGATTGGGCATTTGTGTGATACCAATATTGTAAGATCACTTCTTAAAGAATATTGGTATAAATATTGTTTCGTCAAAGTATAGCAGCTTGAATTAACAGCAGTAAATAATATCAGAAATATAAAGAAACGATTTTCGATTACGCATGTACATTCATTGGCAAGATTAAAATTAACAAACCACATTTAATAATACCTGTTCAATATTTATTTTCTTTGAAGATGTTATTCTACAAGCGCTTAAAGAAACAGCAGCACAGTTCAAAAGACAATCGCAAAGTCTGAGGCAGGTTAGAAACTACAGCTACCATGATTACCCTTCCCAAATCAAATCATTATCTTTGCATTACAGCTACTTTGTCCTTAGTCCATTTTCGACGAACCAAGTCTCCTTGGCGGCAAGTATTTCTGAATTGCTATAGTTAGATTGATTATCAAACCTAAGCTGTTCAGACTAGTAGATTGACTTTGATTGGTAGTTTTTCTTATTCTTTAATAACCAAACTTGGAAAAACGAGATCCAGTTTTTTCGTCATTGTCTCGATATTGACCAAGCCCATGATATGACTCCTTTGCAATTTCTGTGCATGCATCAGAGTGGCATAGAATGGGTCTTTTATATCGTAATATTTATTGAAATTTGTTTTTAATTTTTATTTCTTAGATGAGCTCATCTAGTTGTCAACTAGAAATAATATTTCTTACCAGCAGAACAGCCACCTCTGTCACGAAACACATTGAAAAGTTTTCCAAGAATATTGAACTCGACAACCTAAAGGTTAGTGAATAGATATCTTTTGTGCGATTGATTACATGCAGCTTCATTTACCCAAGTCAGCAAAGATGATTCCTATCCAAATGCAATGGAAAGATCAGAGTTAACAGGCTAAATTATCGAAAAAATATGTAGGCTTTTTCGACCCAAAAGAAATAATATTAGATTTATCTGACAGTTAGATAAAATCTGATTTCAACTTATCATTAACAACTTTCACAACTCACCTTATTTTACCCTCATGAGCTAGCGTAGAAATAGAATAAGAACTTACAGATATCTTTTGAGACCATTCCAGTTACTATTTCTATTTAATTTATCTTGTTTAGATGAAGTACTAAAATATTAAAACCATGCGTGCGAAATGAAACCTTTAAAGTCATCTGGGATTTTACTACTTTTCGACTTCAGAAAATCCAGCTGGTCAATGTGCAAAGTTGTGAAGAAGTAAACAGAGGAGATGACGATACCCGGTCCGGTGAGAAAAAGCAGTCAGTTGAAAAGAAACTAGCTAGAGAAATATCTTTTCCTTTTGTCTCTATTGTTTCGAATTCTAGTTTTTTGATTTATCGGCTGACAGCCTTTATTTCTGGGCTTATACAAGAAGCACAGACAGCACAACGTTCAGCATTGAGAAATCGAAGCACCGGTAAAAAAAAATACCCGAAAGGTATTAGCATTTCACTGCCTTTAATTATCTCTGTCACCATTACTGTTCATTTTTGAAGAAGATGACAGTTCACCAGGGACTGACGAAGACGGATTGATGGATGGTGGCCTGGTTGACGTTGTTTCACTGGGCAAAGGTAGAAAAGTTAAAGTGTTCTGATGTTAAAAGTCAATTTCAGCTCTTAGAATGTTTCTTTATAAATGTCACTGGTTACATCCCATGCTCATTGTTCCTATCCAACTGGCCTGACATGACGTAAAAGCCAGACCTCTTAGACTGGGTGCTCAAATACTTGTTTAATCCTCATTACTATGCCCTGGATTTGTGCTTTTTAATCCTAAATGAATATAAAATTAATTTACTTGACGTCTGTCCTCAGTCTCAATGTCGTACTCAGTTATACACAGCGTCAGTCTTGTTTTTTTTCCTGTTCCTGTTGCAGATGTTTTCAGTTTTCAAAACTTTTTTAAAACTTGGCTGCTTGACGGTAGTACAGATCAAGAACACTTACGGATAACTCTACCCAGTGCGTTTACCCAGGATAGTGAAGGTGAGATATGTAGAAAGTAATGGAAATTGTCAGTAACAAATTCTATTGGGTTTCGTTTGGGTAAAACCAATGCAAAAATATAGTTTACTAATAATAATTGATCCTAATGACGCAGCAGACTGAGAAAAACTCCCAAAAAGGGTCCTGTAGATAAGGAAAATACAGATCGTTTCGGTTTATATGCTGTTACATATATACTTTTTGATGATCGCATGTATTCTAGCATTAATTATAAATTATTTTAATCAACTTGATAGGCGATCATAGTCAAGACCATATGGACACGGGTCTCACTCTAAAGTGTGATCTCCACGAACGTTTGCTGAACCCTTTGCACCTTCCTTACCAATCTTGCTTTGTAAGTAAATCTCTGTCTTCAATATATATATACCAATTCACTTGGAGCTATGTAACCTGGAGTGTAATACTGGTACAGAGAAGCACCGAGTTTCTTCGAATGTTAACATGGAGGTGGATTTCATCTTTAGCGAGGATCTTAAGTAGTCAAAATAAAAGAATACTATATTGAAAAAAAAAAGTGGGCGACTGATGATGCATTTACATCATCGGAAGCTCCAATAATCGAAGCTTGATTTTGCGTTTTGTTTGTTTGTGTTTTTGCGAATGTTACAAGGCTGATACCAAGAGCAAAATACCACAGAGTTTTGTCCATCATTGCCAGTCGCGCTGCTAAGAGTTTGAATTAAATCGATCTTGATCATATTTTGTGCATTTTATGGGTGATTCCTTTTAAAATCAACGTTTTTCTAATTTAACCAATAGACTGTGTGCTCAGAATCGGCCAATCTCACGAGCAAAGGAATTGCAGTAACAAAGCCCAATATACTGACTTACCCGGTATACAACCTGACAGCCGTGAAGCTCGTCAACACAGAGGCTGTTTGTGAGTCAATAGTAAGAGAATAATACATTGATAATGCGCTTTGAATAATTCATCGGAAATGACAAAAATTATTTGAAGACCTTTGAAGGTAGTTGTTGCAACACATGTGACATGTGACCACAGTCACGCTAGTTCACATGTCAGATGTAGAAAGAAAGGTGTCATGATATAGGTGAATCGTTTTCTTTCATTTTTTTAAAAACACTTCGATTTTAATTGAAATAGTAGAGAGGTTCAAGTCGAAAGTAATTCACAGTTACTTTGGTCTTTGCTTTCAGTTTTAAACAGTTGGATCGTCTATAATTTGTGATTGTTTTTCCAACACTCAATTGAAAACCTCTCTCGAGTCAAGTAACAACATAATACATGAATAGGAAAAAAACGAGAAAGAAACATTGGAAAGCGGAGAAAAAATTATCGTACCTTCTACACCAGCAGTATTTGTCACTTAATCATCATTCATCTACATTCTACATTTGATTTGGCGTGACCTCCATGCATCAGTGTTTATCAGTCTATCAGATTTTTTCCTCAGTTGTAACTCATGTTGTTCTATTTTTGTTTTTTTATTCTGCATTGGTTGACACCTTATGCACTGCTACGTCCAGCTCTTTGGGATGGTGAGTTAAACACTTAAGAAAATGGGTAACCTGTCAACGAATTTAAGTGTCCACAGCGCAAAATCAGTCCGATGGCAATCCAAAGAAAGCGCGCTGGTTCTGATAAATGCCTTACAAATGAACGGAAAAATCAGTCTCTCAAATTTTATCAAGACAGTAAGGTGGCTGATATTTCCGTACAGAACATTTTAGTTCTTAGAATATACTCCTTCCCACGACCAACCATCATTATACTATAAAATTTCCATAACAAGCGCTGGACTAGTTTTGGCCTCTTTTGGTTGGTTCATTTTTGGGTTGGCTTACTTATCAGAAGGGAATTTTGCATTTCAAAACTAGTTGGGCTAATACTTAAAAGAACAGGACTTTTAGGTTGAAAAAAAGTTCCGAAAAATGTTATGTGCGTATAAAAAAAATTATGTTAAAACGCTCTAAACATAAAAAAATTAAGAAAAAAAAAAATCCGCAGTCATCAAAATGATCAGATAAGCTAACGTCGCTGATTTATTGCAATGAAATAAAATACAATACTGTCCAACTGTATTTACTATCGAAATAAATTTTACTGTAATTTTCTATTTACAAGGCTAAAAAAGTTAAAAGAAAAAACACCGAATGTTTTCGACACTAGATCATCTTCAGAAACGTTTGCAGGTTACCCACCTAACCCTGAAGATGACCTAGTGTCGAAAACGTTCGGTGTTTTTTTTTACTTTTAACTTTTTTTAGCCTTGTAAATAGAAATTTATTGTAAAATAATATCATGGACAAATGTTAGTCTTCATTAAGACCTCTTACATATATTCGGGAGGGCTTTTATCGTAAAAATATCTGCATCTTCGATTGGGGTGGTATGGGTAGTCTATCCGTGTATTTTGCTTTCACTGCCTGTGCCATTCACTATGAGGTAAGCAACGGCTTAAAAAGGCCATTCCAAAGCCAGCCCAGAAAGAGTAGCATTAAGGTCCCACATGAAAGAGAAATAATTAGCTGCATACTGCGCTTATTAGTAGGCAATTAGATCGAAAGCGCAAAGTTATAAAATTTAAGAACATTTTCAAGATTATTTTGCTTTTCCATAGCCTTACATTGTTCGACCCACATCGTGTTGGAAACTGGATTGGGAAGAGCTGGAGAGCAACCAGCAGCACTTCTATGCTTTCTGTTCAGTGCTGAAAGAACGGGTAATATGTACACTTCACTACATTTCCTACTGTCACAGCAGTGGTAAAAAGTAACTAAATAACTATGAAAGTGTGATAGTTCAGTTGTACTAGCTGTTTTCTTATTTAATTAAGGGTGTGTCGCTATTGGCGAGAACCAGTGGTCAGAGTGTGGTCTCACATGGCCATCAGCAGGCTGTGAGGGCTTCTCCTCAAGGACACTTCCTTCTCCTTCCATCTGATAACTCTCTGTTGTTGAAGTCTATCGCGGTCAGTGAAATGATGCTACCTAGCGATTTTCAATCTCCAGTGGCAGGACCGAGCGACAGCGCACTGTCGGTTGTAGCCTCGTGCCTTGACCAGGTAATACCAAATTTATTCGCAGTTTTCAATACCTGTAAACTGCAGCCTTGACACCAAAGACAATACGTTGACATTTTCTTTTCTTTTTTTCACAGATCGAATTCTCCAATTCATACAATCCACTTCTGGTTCATTCAGATCTATACAAGTGTCTGATCTCTCAATCCCTAAAGAGCAATTCAGCTTCGAAACCACTGAAAAGGCGCTTTCAAGCACCTCAGGTTGGTAAATCTGGCCAGAGACTGATGTCACCGAAAACAATTCAGTTATTTGCAATGATACCTTTCTAAGGAACGCTTCTTGCCCAACAGTGTTCTGAAATTTGCCATCAGCTAAAAACACATGTACAGACACGGTCGTCCATAGTCCCGGCTGATTCGTAAGGCAAAATATGTTTCTCTCCTGTTCTGTGCAATTCCGAAACCGTGAGTTATCTAAGAATAACTTGAGAAGGACTCGATCTATTTTGGAGATAAATTCTGTCACCAAGACCTCAAGCCTGCATAATTTTCTCTGATCGGAACCATGCATGATCATATTCGCATTCAGACCATCCTATAAAGTAAGTATAGAACGTTTTCACACGACGTCACGGCATCCATACTGCTGTTTCTAAAAAAAACAAAACAAAAAAAAAATGAAACGGCGGCCATGTTTGTGAACCAAACCAATCCTGCAGGAGTTGAACTCTTATCTTATGTAAACAATTTCTTTTGTTCCAATAACTTTGCATGGCTGCTGGCCACGTACGTGAAAACGCTCTATAAATGAGGCGATGGACTTGCCTCCCATTAAGAAAAGTAACATTACTTCATGCCATCTCATGCTACAAATACCAGAGTTAAACGCCCAACTTATCAGTAAGGCATCAGGCCGAATCCAAGCCCCAAAGAAACCGTAAGGAACTTTCATCCCTCCTTTTTTCTCTATCAAAACGTCTTTTTGCTGGACTGATTATAAATTCGCTGTTTCTTAAAGCCTTGTATGATAGCTTTTAATTGCAATACTTTAACATTTGCTAGAAATCCCAGGCTTCCAAGCAAGCAGCAAGCAGCTGTCAAACGGTGACCACTGATACCAATCAACAAACAAAAAGGGCAACACCGCGGGCTCAAGCGCGACGAGTGGTATTTACAGCTCCAAAAGATCCACTTTCTCAAGCCCCGCAATTAACAAACGAGTTTAGATCTGCTGGGACCGTGCTTTCCATGTCTAAACGTTTCAGATCCAATTCTGCGGCAAGTCTCTATAACAGCAGTCCACCATCATTTCCTGATAACTTGTAGTCAGAGTACCTGTTTTTAATGAGCAATTCCCCGTCTCACGAATGCAAAAGTTCCAGAAGTGGCGTCATAGTGGAACTGGAGTCTGATTCTGTGATCTTTAAAGAGTTTGGAATAAAGAACCTGTAAGAGTGATTCATAAGAAATAGTACACAGTTATCCTGAGGCTACATTCATAGTTTTGCAAATAGCAAAAATATCCAAAGATCATCACATAATTGAAAGTGGAAAAACAAACAGCAAATTAGAGAGGCTTAAGAGAAGCTGAAAACTGAAACATTACTTCAAGTTTTAATTAAACACGTGTGCATAGCTGTCAGCAAATTCAACTTTGTGTAACATTAGCTGACAGGTTTCGAAACGGAAAATTATCAAGCTTTGAGAATCTGAAAATTTAAGAAAGTTGCGATGATCCAAACTCAATTAAAAGAAAATCGATTGAAACAAGGAAAGCATCTGATTGGTAAATGAACGGAGAATTTTAAGCTTGAGTACAAACAATTTCAAAACCACTTAACCCTATACATCTTCTTCCTTTACTTAACCTCTACTGCAACTTCAATATTACGCCAAGAAACACTATTTTAATTAAAGTTGGGATTGTTTTGTTTTCTGGGAGAGGTGATGGACAAAACCCGAGGGGTGGCTGTATTCGAAGGCAATTCAAATAGCTGTGAAACTAATTCAGTTTCATTCTCAAGCTTTAACTGTTGTCAAAAATACTACATAGAAACAAGGGAAGCATTGGAAAGTTTGCAACTTAAAAAATTAAGAAGTTACATGTGATAAAACCTTCATTCAGTCTCACGAGAAACCAGGAAATGAAGATGCAACAGGCGGTGATTGGTTGAATAAACGAAGTAAATTATTTAAAAAGTTTTATTTTTTGGAAAACAATCTAAAACTTTCTTTCCTTGCTTCCATTTAGTCATAGAAATATTGGAAACTTTGTAACAAATCAACTGACTTACATCTTTGCTGGAGATGTGATCCATAAATTCAGCTTTCATGATTTAGTTCCTATTAGAAAAAAAAAAACCTCGGGGGTCACGAAAATAACTTTCTATTTCGACAACCGTGTTTACATAGCTTGCTGCAAAACAACTGTTCAACCTGTAAGAACCAAACCTGTCATATGATCAGATTTTGTAAACTAAATTTGAGCCATGATAACATGATCTCTCTTAGTTTCGTTTGCTCTATTAACCCAATGAAACCCAGTGCTGAAGGCATATTTTTTTTTGTCTTAAAAGACAAACCTTGACTTGTCGAAAAGCTAAATTTAAGCCGTGAGACTACGATCTCTGTAAGCTTCGTGTGCATTATTACATGAAGCTCGGTGCTGAAGGTCGCTCGTGGATCGTCCCTGAACACGGTATTTTAACAGATATAAGCGAGAATGGTTGGCAGTACTCTTGTGGAAGTTTGTGGCGGCCTCATTTTCAGCTTTACACGTAGTGTGGCGGAACACGTTAATCCCAACGAAGCCGAGATTATTCCGCAGATGTGCGGTTACGATATTCTACAAGACTCGGGCATGGAATGGTACTGTCAACCTGTTGATGAGCTTATTTGTCAGGAGTACAGCGACGGAGAAGTCTCTAGCACTGAGTACTTTACTAATCTTGGCCAGGCAAGGTTTACGGATGCCTGCGCAATTGAGAGCAGTGAAGATACAGAACACGTGCTAGAAGATAGATCAATGGCTTGGAAGAGACTCAGACCATCTTCAACTCGAACAGTTTGGTACTCGCTCTGTTTCGGGTTTTTAATTTCCGTGTTAAGTGCAGCCATCATCGGCATTTTGGCTATCCTTTTTTACTACCTCAATTATCAAGCCGTGCTTACATGTCGAACTCGTCCAAAGCAATCGATACCAATCAAGATTCAATGGTCTAAAACCATTTCTGAAAGCATATCCTGCATTCCCATTTACACATGGTTTTTCCTTAATATGCTGTTTTTCTTTCGACCACATCAGATTTTGGGATTAAAACGAAAAATCTTTCTGATATCTTTCGTTTTCTACATCCTAGACACACTATATCGTCTAGCTCTTCAAGGTTTTGGCATTTCTCATTCGGAGTTAACGCGATGGCAAAGGATCCCTGGAAACATTCTTTTCCTGTTAAGTAACTTTGTACAATCATTGGTCCTCGCTAGACGTCTTTGGACAGGGGCAAGAACAAGTAGATTTAAGACAATGTCGCTGATTATAGTTCCCTACATTTCTTGTATAGTCGTGGCTATTCTGGTAGCATATTTTCTTTATCCTGCGTTCACCAAACAAAGCAAAGCAGGAAAAGTCCATATCGCAGTGTTTGCCCCTCTAATCACAGTAGCTCTTAAAGGAGTATCGCGCCTTTCTGTCCAGGGCCTATGGAGAATTAGTCATCCGGGAACATCATTTGTACTGCTTGTTCCGCTGTATTACGGGTCAGCTGTGATGTTGAGGCTTCTACAAGTGGATCTTCAAAATTTAAAAGCAATCGCTTTAATCGGAATAATCCATGGGATTGCGGAGGTCATCGAGAGAAGCGCGCTAGTTTTGATAGATTACGTCAGTTATCAAATTTATGAAAGGAGACGAGTTCCCTGGAGACGTTTTCGCACTCCTCGTCGTGAGAGACTTGCAGCGGACATTGCTATACTGAGCATGTTGTTTGAATCAAGTGCTGTTATTTCCGTGAACGGGTTCTTGCACTTGCATGAACATTTTTACACGGACGATAAGACACCACTGCAGTTACTTCAGTCATTTGCGATCAGCACATCAGTTCCACTGGCGATTGAGTGGTTCTTTACCAGCGTATCTATAGCCATTGAGACACGCTATCAGAACAGGGCTGTTACAGCAGTGTGGCGAAGACAGTGGAAGAGACACCTAACAGTGGCAGTAATCAACGCACTTCCTATAGTCGTTTGGTCGAGCACAAGCCTGCTGATAGCTGTCCAAGCGCGCTTCCCTGACTTCAAAGAGCACTGTGAAATGCCGTTTAGTCACCCGTAAATGGAAAACATATGAAGAAAGAAGTAATATAAAAGAATTAGCATATACTTATATCGCTTGTCCACAACAGCTGGGCTTTATAAGCCCTTTATTCACATGTTAACCAAGCCCAGATCAGAATACAGTTTATGCATGGAAATGCGAATCCATGTGAGTTCCGTAATACTGATTTCTGTGATAGAGAAAGTCTGCAAATGAGCTTAAATAAATATTGAAATATTGAAATATTGAAGCTACCTACAACTAAACGCAGGAGGAGTTGAAACAGAAACAAAACGTATAGCTTATGACCCCACCCCCCCCCCCCCTCCTAAACCCCGACCAGCACTTGAAGATTAAGGTTAGTTTGGTATTGATGATCAGGATGCCTCAAATAAAGTTAGTTCTCGTGTAATTATTTCGCAATTATTTCTTATCAAACGAAAGTAAGCGATGTTTGGCAGCTTAAACTTCATGATCGCTTTTTCAGGGAATGGAGTTGTTGTTGTTGTTGTTTTTTTTTTTGAATTTATTATGGCAAAGTACTCAAAGTCAGCCGTTTCGGCCGGCGCCTGTTCTTGTACCAAGAGTATATATATACATATGTAAGTCAGAATTATCGGTACTGTGATAAGGATTTCAACTCCAGTGAGAATTCATTTTGAGACGCAAAATATTAACATATAATAACAAATAGATTTTCGGTAATTTATATGGATACCATTTCGGTGTTATTGAACTGTTCTTAAGGGAACTACGCCACGGCTTGCCCATGTTGGAAAGTTTAGGCTACATTTTTCAAGTTCTTCTTTTGTAATCCGTGTTAATCTTTTCCATCCTTAGCCATCCTTGTTCCTTTATGCTTTATTACTATCTCTTTGACATTTTTCAATCTTAGTAAACTGCTGTTTTCAAGTCTCAATTTAAAGGTTTGCACGAGGCCAAATTAACTCAAAATATCCTGACTGAGCTCCTTTAGCAACCTTAGTCTTTGCCATAATGCTTGATTTCTTGTTAGCTATGTCAGCACCTTTCCGCGCACCCAGTGATGTTTGAAACAGCGAATATTTCATCTAAGTCATTCAATTTTTCAAGTCAGTGACGTAAATAACAATTTTCTTTTGTCCCTTATGCAAGGCTTATCTTGGAATCTAATTGGTTCAGAAATAACAACGCCTAATTTGGCTCCATCCTTGTAACGTCATTTCTCTGAGTGCTGAGTGGCGTTACCAAAGGAAAACACCGTGAACTTATCTTTCTGAAAGAAGAAGGTAATTGAAGACAAGCAACCCACAGCGGGACTGAAGGAGACATAACTGAAGCTGCTTACTCTTATGGTTGGTGTGGCACAGACAGAATGAAGTTCTCACAAAAGATCAGAAGAATACAGAAGCTGGTTTTCTTTATGATTAAGAAGGACCTTCTTTGGCTTCGAAGAACAATTTAATTCGCAAAAAGAACTCAGTTAGAGGAACTCCGCCAAGACTGAAAAAAAGAAAAAAATTCAGTGGTGATTTATTTACCTGCTGCCCATAAGTCGAACTCTCTGTTTGGGAGTTAAATGGATGTCACTGGTGCGATTTACAGGAAAGACTACAACCACCTGAGAGCAATCATTGGTGCCAGTGGATTTATGGTTGTTATATGAAGACGACAGAACATGATTTGTTTTGGTTACTAAACATTTAACCCTGAATGGAAAGGCGGGGAAGAGATTTACCAAGACTGTGCACTTGCATACAAGGACACGGAAGAAGAAATAAATTGGTTTATTTTGTTAATTTGCGTTAGCCACCTGCTTTTGTTTACTATTAATTTTAGTTCATCAATAAAAAATCTGAGCGAAACTTCAATTCTTTCATATGGCTAACAGTTTCCTGTTACCCTTTCTTTCGTGCTAGCTCATGTCAAATACTATACTCGGTACACGTACATGTAGGTTATTACGGGCAGTAAAATAGTTCTGAAAAGATCTACTCATCGAAAGAATTGATTTTACCCACTCCTTCCAATAAAGACCTATGTACATCGGCGACTGCAACATCGGAGGGAGAATCTTTCCAACCACTTTTTCTTTCTCGCATGTCAAGTTTGACTTTTAGCCGTTTTGAACCAATTTTTGTCATAAATTTGCGTCCTTCATCTGTTATGGCAGAAGAATTGAATGGGTGGATTGGCAGAATCTTTAAGGGTCCGTTCTGGGCACCTAATAAAATTCAGTGACTACTTCAGTCATATGCGCATGTCATGACAGTGAAGGTTCTGTCATGATTGACAACAACAAATTCTCCGGTCAGCAATATCTACAGAAAACGCCAAAAAACTTAAGATGCTGACTCTAATCTACTTAAGAGACAATTTTTTTAAAATTCTTTGAAAAAAACCTCTGCTGCTTAATTTTTAGCAATCCGAGACATTATCTGTAAAAGATTGGTAGCTGCACAAACTCTAAATTTACACAACTGTGAAATTCCTATTTTTATTTGCTAATATCGCATATTATATCGAAGTTCTATCGCCCTGAAGTTTGAAATTTTGCGAACAATATACGAACGAACCAGCCAAAAATGTCTATTACATACTAAAGCTACCACTGTCCACACACAGTAGCAGTTTGCTGGAGCATGTTGTCTTCCAGATTCTTTTTCCCACTTCTGACAGAGCAATTTCCCGTTTTATGTTTTGAAGTAGTTTCTTTTCAACCACAGATAGCAATTCAAATGGTTGTGAAATATTCTCCGAACATTTCTTCTCAGTTTTATTAAGAGGAATGAAACCACACATGAACTTCATGCCCGTAAAGCGCGACAGCGCGAAAACACCAACATTTCTGGCCGTTTCACTTGTTCAAAGGATATTCTGTTGTCTTAAAAGTTAAACCTTTTTCCCAGGGTCTTTAATTTCACCAAAATATCAAAACTCAGTGAAGCAGTTACAAGTATGGACCTTGAAGAGATGTCAGTAGAAGAGATCTTTGTTTTAAACAATTTGAATGTTGACATGTTTTGTTTGCCGCTATCGGTTCAAATACCTGCTTGGTTTTATCAAAGCAGCACCATAGAAGTGATGGCCCATGCAATGCCCATAGCTGTCTTGTTCGTCCATAATTAACAATGTCATTTTCTCTCGCTCTCGTTTTAGTCGGTTCCTGTACTAAGGATATTGATTAGTTTTGAGTTCTAAAAAGTTCCGTCTCCGATGGTTAAGTCTGCGATTTCTCAGTAATAGAACAAGCGGCGTGCGACACAGATACTAATTCTAACTTGGCAAACTCCCTTTCAAAGGTATGTTAGAGTAATATAGAAAGTCTAGCCTCATTGAAGGTGCTAAGATTCATCCAGGTTATAGAATTCATCGATCTCTGTCGCGTTGGTATCTAATTGGGTGTTACGGATCGCGTTTTGAAGGACTATATTTTGCCCCTCTTTGTCCTTTTTATTTGAATATGGCCAAGTTAAGGTTACAAGAAACTCTCATATTTTAGTTTGTTCATCTTACGGTGAATTTGCCCATGAAGATATGCGGTGTTTAGATGATGATAGTTTCACGGTTCCCTGATCCTATTCAGGTGAACATTTAAAACAAAATGCGTGTGTCTCACGGCTAAGAGATAAAGAAGAAGTAGCTTCAGTTGTAAAGTATTTTCCAATGACGCAGGTCAGACTAGGTGACGTCAGAACCGCACCAAGGGGTGTGCATTTGTGTCTGTGTGGCGAGGGAAGGGGGGGGGNGGGAGGAACAAGTACATGTGCTTTAAAAAGTAGCCAAACTTCTTAGATCCCTAATAATTAAAGGTAAACTCTTGCGATCGCATAACGTCAGGCGATATCCCTAGGAATTTACAAAACGAGAGTGTAAAGGGCAAATACATGCATATGGTTGTATTGCGCTAGTAAAATTTTTATACACCTTAAAATTTCTTGCCATTTTGCAAGTCGAACTACCGTTTTTTCTACATTTCCCGTATATAGTTCCATTACAATAACTCGATTACGCCAAAATACGAACCATGGCTCGACTAAACTCGCCTGATGTGATACAGAGGCGTGCCACTACGATTAGGTATAAATATGGGCATTTAAATAATCCAACATCAAACAGTTAACCAGATTCAGCTCTCCAATTTTAAGTCGAAGTAGCAATGATAACGTACTTGTGCTCACCTTAGACATCGCCATTGCCGGCAATTTTGCTTATAAAATTTTTATGGGAATTGCAAAAACGTAAGTTGTGAAATTGTCCGCAGTTGTAATCCCCATACATGGCACGAACGGAACCTTACGTTCCTTCTGGTACTGCCATTTTCGAGAGGACCAAATATTTGACGGATCATGTTTGGCTTAGGCTCAAGGTCATGCAACATGGTTGGAAGCCAAATCAGTATTTCCTTTTCGAAGTAAAATTAAATGCATCAATTGTTTTCTAAATTTTTTATACTTCAACAATACACAGCTTAAAGAAAAACTTGTTCTTGTCTTCTCAGCTTGTTCCTTGTGGACCTTCCGGCGCCATGATGCGCCTCCCTGAGGGACATGAGAATTTATTTTATGTTATGCGCTCTTCTAGCTTACAGCGAAATCTGCTCCGTTGAAGGTATGAAACTAACACTGTCCTTATTAATATATGACATGCAAAACCTTATTCAAGGAAATGGGCTTCCTGGGAAATAAAGTGGAAAAGAAATCGTAGGGTTTACTTTCCTTCTCTTCATATCACTTGTTTTTATATTGCTCCTCTGCCAATAACTCAGCGAACTTTTAAATGCAGTACATTATGGGCTAAGTCAGTCAGTAGCATTAGTAACTTGCCACCGATGGATTGTTCGGTGCATTTCCGCTAACAATGTTCCAACTAAACTCCTAAAACAAAGCGTGTTAGCTGTTCGCTAGTTATATTTATTAAGCCATTCTAAACGAATTCATTTTATTCTGTGATTTAGTTATACTTTTTGTATTTTAAATTGATTTTATCTCTTAATTCTTTCAATGCAGCTATTGCGACTTCAGTTCATTCAGTCCTACATGTATCTCACGTGATTATTTCGAAGCCGAACTAACCATATCTAGGCATAGGCTGCATGGTAGAGAGACAAACATTTTGCTCATAGAGAGCATGACTGGCTATAAAAAAAAAAAGCACTCAGTTAATCTTTTGTGATTTGCTAAGTTATTCTCCTGCGCTTTACTTTTTTGTACAGGTAGAATGTACCCAGGCTCTGTGACATTTAAACAAAAATGGACAGACCTTCGAGCAATACCTGGAAGCTCCCAGTATGGCATGATGGTTAAAAACATAGAAAATTCAGTGAGTCGTTCTTTTTCGTGTTTAAAAACCTTAAATTCTAAAATTGAAAAACGTTGTCCAATACGAAATGCGTGACAAATTAAAGTGCTTGCAATAAACTACTCAAATATCATTCTTTTTCCTTGCAAAGATACGAGACGCCTTCAAGAATGATTCTAATTTTCAAGATGTCAAGGTGACACAGTTGAGGTGGGGTGTTAATTTTTCAATATTTTTTGTATCTTTGATATCTTCATTATAACTATCAGCGCTTGATACTGAAACTAAACAGTCAGCTTTTTGCTCAATATCCAGGGAGCACAAGGCCACTAAAAAGTCCACAAGACAAGGAAATCTTGCAGCAGATTTTGAGTTGTCGTTTAACAACCAATCAAGAGTCAGAAGCAGCGTTTCTAATCTCTTCAGCATGGTGCAGGATGGTGTTCTTGACGGGATACCAGTCAAGGAAGGATCTTTATTTGTTCAAGGACTGAAAAATATGACTTGGCATAAACACAAACATAGAACGCAGCAGCACATCGTTCACGGTTTGTTTTTGGTTTCTTTCTTTGTTGCTGTTACTTTTCTTGTTTATTTTATCCTAGGAAATTCCATCTCCTGGCTGCAATGGTAATTTTAGTCCACAAACCTAATAATTCAGTAAGCCTAAGAATTAAGACATTGTCGTAAACCCAAGTGATAACGTGATTACCGTCTACCGGTTAGCTCACTGGGTAGAGCACCGGACTAGCGTGCGGGAGGTCGCGGGTTCAAACGACGGCCGGACCAACACTCAGGGTCTTTAAATAATTGAGGAGAACGTGCTGCCTTTGTAATGACATCTGCAAATGGTTAGACTTCCTAGTCTTCTCGGATAAAGACGATAAACCGTAGGCCCCGTCTCACAACTCTTCATAATTAATTCTGTGGAACGCAAAAGAACCTACACACTGATCGAAAAGAGTAAGGGACATAGTTCCCTGTGTGGTG